ACTGGATTCATTGAAACATATACATATATATATATATATATATATATATATATATATATATATATATATAAACAAAGATAAAAAGATCCCACGCGTATATTTGTGAAACGCAGGCTTAATTGTTGAGAGCTTGATTTCCATGGAGTTTCTATGATTTAGATAGAAAGCAGTTGGGATCCTCTGTGCCTCTATTCGGTGCCAAATTCTGTCAGTTTCACTTATCACTTGAGGGTAGAAGAAATTTAAATAAACAGTATATCATAAATTAAATAAATAAGACATTTGATATAAATATAAAAATAGCATTGATTTGCCACTGAAAAAATTGAACTGAGGATCCCATGTAGCATTTGGTACAGTTATATATGGTGCGAGCTATTTATGCATATTCCATATTCTTACCATATACGTTCAGCCTTGTCTTGATAAACGGTACTTGCTAGAAGTATATAGTAATATTTTTCATGCAGGATATCTAGATTGTTTGATATGTATAATAATGAACTTGTAGGAAAATGGAAATTAAAATGAAAAGAAAAATTAATCCTCAATCTTGCATGAGTTTTTCTCTAACAAGGGGAAACTCACCCTCAATCATACATGCACTTGACAAATTAATTTGAACATGAGGTTAGTGTGGTTCTTTTTGTTATCAAAAAATACAAAAGTTTCAATGGATTATATAAAATGATTCATCTCAACCACAAATAAGACAAGCATTATGAGATGAGATGAGAAATTCCCAGATGTGATCATTGGATTACAGGACAAAATATGCAAGTAAAATTGCACACTTCATGCTCAAGAATCGACTAAATATGAAACGGTGGAGAATTAACAATTCAATACCCTCTTGTCCAATTAACTCAAGAAACGTAAAGCTATTTTGCACGCAAGGCAAAGCTACACCCTGGCTTGTATGTTCTACGTAGAATTCCACGGAAATATCAGCAGAATTCCTTGATGATTGAATGTGTTCTGTCTTTTCAAAACCTGACCAACTGGTTGTGGCCTAGGATAGGTCTGAGGTCGGCTCAATTTAATAGCAAGATAGAAAAGAAATTTTTTTTTTTTTAAAATTGTTGTGGATTTTTTACCAACCAAAACCAAGATCGGCCTAACCAATCCCTCCAAATCTGTTTTCGACTGGATCAACCCAACTGTACCAAATGATATAATGTATTGTTATTGCCAGTTAGCTTCCTCAAAAGAAAAGAAAATTAATAATTTGCCTTACATATTGATTAATGTGGAGAAGATGAAGAATTTGTAAAATAACCCAAAAAAAAAAAATAATTGAATGTGTACAGCTTGTTTCTTATTGAATCCATGTTTAAAAGATGAAGAATATGGACTACCATTCAAATTCTTTTTATTTTTATTTTTTCACACCATGGTTTGAAATGAAGAGCATGTATAACAACGTTTCATTTGTAACATAGCCAACTAATTGAACTGTTCACCTCAGCATCATCCATCATTTCAACTTTCCTTTTTCCCTGCCTTATTCTTATTTCTTTTTCTTTCTGAAAATGATAATGATCATATTGAGTCCCGCAAGTAAGCGCAATCATCTTCTTGTGCCTTTTTTTTTGTTTTTTTTGTAATCCTGCTCATGAGGATGTGACCATTTGAAGCTCATACCCAATGGAAGAATTCATAAGTGCAGATCGACTAAGGCAAAATCAGCTCATAATTAATGAAGCACAGGTGAGTTCCTTACAACGTTGGCATTTCCGAATCAGTTAAAGAAAGAATGTTTACTACAACTTGACCTCACTCAGCTGAAATCATAACCTGCAACTAGTCACGGCTAAAACAAAGGGTTAACACCCCAAAAAAAAAAAAAAACTCAAAATTTCAGAATATACACATTTTTTTCGAAGTATAGGTGGGCAAATTGTTACTCGATCCCAAGTTTTACAAGAACAGTTGGATCACAAATAGGCATCTCTTTATGCTAGTTTTTAAATCTTGGTCATGACACCTTTTCATATGTTCGACTACAAAATTTGAAATTAGTTCATAATGAAGGATATGATCAGCAATTCGAGGACACAAACCCATGGCTTGACATTCAATTATTGAATAAATTAGGCTCATAAGAATGAGTTCTTTTATACAAAATAAAACGTTATGCAACAGTGTCTCTCTGAATGTCTGCAAGTTATGAATGATTTTAACGCCTTAGAATGGTAGAGTCTAACTAAACTCTCTTACTGCATCGATCAATTATATATGATTTCTTTTTATATCTAAATTAGGGTGAAGCCATTCAAAATATAACAATTCATTCCAGGAAAATTTGCAGACTTTCATACTTGAAAACCCCTAATTAGTAAACTCTTAGAGCTTGAGCAAATCAAGCTGATTTTTCCCGTCGAAAGCAGTTTCATAATGGAATTAATTACTAACAATATTTACCAACAGCAATTTTGGTAATGGATGTGATATTTAATGTTCTATCCTTTCTCTTGTTCCTATATATAGATTGAGCATGAACACTTTTAAGAATGATCTCATCTGGGTAGTTAAGGGATTATCTTGCTTGATCATGAGGATGTGACAAACTTTATTCAAATAAGAAGTCGATCTTGATGGGGCCTAGTAAGGTTGCTGATTTAGTGATGTTGTTGAGCTAAGCTAATCATCTAAAGCAAATGATTAGGTACAGAACATTCTACGAAAATAAGACTTGATACCACCAAAGATTAATCTAGCCACAAATTACTTAGGCACTGTATCATGGATATGATTAATGTGTGTATGAACCCCATTTAATTGGCTGCCATCTACTGCTGATAATATGCTAAGACCTGGGAATTTCCTTCGTATGCATATGTTGTCTGTACGAGAGAAATCAGTGGGATATCTCACATCTTGTCATGTAATGGTGGAATCTTAAACTCCAAACTTTGTATAATTTCCCTGAAATTACCGCTCAACTTCCCCCCACCCCCCATCCCCACCTCCTTCCTCTATCTCCACAGCTATTAAGGTGCTGGAAAGCAACGTTTTGAGATTCTTGATTCATGCAAGTTATCTTTGTTCTTTTTCTGACTCTTATATATTGTTTTCCCTCGTTTGTCTGATCTTTAATATTGCCTCATGGCAGATGGTTTAGTAGCACAATCTAAGGGGACTTTTAAAAAAATGGTGGATTATGTAGTATACGCAAGTTTTCTCTTTCAAGTTCTTGTTAAGAAATCTTAAAAAAATAAAAATAAAAATAAAACCATTGTTTGTTTGTCTTCTAAAACCAGAGAAAATTCTAGATGTTTTATTATTGCATCATACCTTGAGATGCCAAATTTAACTAAAACTTCGTTTGCTCTTCTATCTTTTGAGCCAAGCATTGTTATAACAGTCGATAAAGTTCTTGTTTAATTATTCAAGGATATTATTTTGAAAAGGGCAAATATTTGGAAACGATTGAAAAGTAAAAAAGAAACATTCAAGTAAGCACCATTATATATAAAAAAAGATATACTCAAACATGGTATTTTTATTTTTAGTAGGAGATTTTGAATTTAAAACATTTTACCTACGATCCCTTTTTCCATACTCAAACTTGATAGATATATTATAAAACTAGGTAGCAAACAATATATCAAGCTAAATTCGACTTCTTCAACGGCAATTCTGTCTTATTCTTCTTTTTTCTTTTTTGGAGAGCAGAAAATGGAATCATGTCAATTGAGTCGAAACTGGGCATTGTCTGATCTAATTAAGAAGACGAGTAAAGCCTCCCCTTGTTTTCATGAACAAAATCTACAAGTCTTTTAAAGATCGCTCGATTCTTTTCACATTCTTTCCACTCTTAATCACAGAATTAAATCTTGAACTTGACAATCGAAAAGGCCTTAAGCGTCCTCCCTTGACCATAGGACCATTCGTATGTAAGTTAAACTCTCATTTATTCAGAATAATTGTCCTACGTACCTGGACATAAAAGTCTAAGAAGAATATAGCAAATTTTAGTGGTACGTTCATGGTAAATAGTCAGATAGAAATATTGGTTCAGTTTTAATTGGCAATGGAAGAGGCTTTCTCTTTGTTAACATGATGGGGTCCGCTCTGAAAGCAATCCATCCCAAACATCATTTGCAAAAGACAATCCTGCCGCTGTTAACTCACTGTTACATTGATCGTTTGTTTAAACATCACTGTGGTAAGAAACATCAGCATAATGACCAAAATAGCCTTTTCGACATTTGATTTGACCATGGTCATCACAGACCAAAAAAGCTGCTTCAGACTGAAATCATTACAGGGCTCTGCATAGTGGTAAGAGAAATTGGACAACATAGTAATTTTAGTTGCATTTCATTGCCCTCCCTCCATTATTTATATTTTAGATACGCTGAAAAGAAAAAGAAATGTCTGTACTGTGCTAAAATTAACCTCTGTATAGTGACGCTTGTATGAATCATATGTTAACTGAGAAAATACTTGATTAGACTTGATCTTGTGTCACACTTGCACGCTATGTGATAGCTTCAAGAATTACATGAATTTTTTAGCCTTCTTATTATATCATTCGTTATTCTTTTTTCTTTTTTCACATCGGAGATTATTAGCGGCTATGTCGTGGGTGAACATATCTTACACAAATTACAAATAAATTTATAGACCGAATCTATCTAGATATTTTTCGTATTATGTAAAATAAAGAAGTTATATAAGCTTAATTACCTTCTAGACCAAATTACATGACTCAAAGCGAACATTTCACACAGTCATGACAAATGGGATTGGCTAATATGTGTGCAGTTGGAGAGAATTTAGGCACGCAAAAAATTAGTGCAAAATGGCATAATGAAAGTTTTGTTTCTATGTGGGGATGTTTTTTCCTTGGGTCCAATTGCTAGTTGCTGGGATCAAGTTTGGAGTTTTTTGATTGGGTCAAGGAACTTTCAAGCCTCCACAAATAGATATAGAGCACCCCCTCTAGCCACCTCCCTCTCACCACACAGCCCCCTCCCCCCACCCCCCCCCCCCCCAACCCTTCTTTCTTCTTCCCTTCTTCCTTTAGAAGAAGTTTATTAAAGGGTTAGAAGAGAACCTGATCAAGGTGAAAGGGGTAAGAGGAGAGAAAGAGAGAAAGCAAGAAAGAAAGCTGATGAAAAAGCTGAAAGTTCAAAAGCTAAAAGAAAGCTGATGATAACCGAAAGAAAGAGCCTTTTTATTATATCCCTCCTCATGTTTGCACTTGCTGCTGTATCTGTATCTCTATCTGTATCTTCCACAGTATCCATTTCTACTTCTCTCTTCTCCTACTGCCTTCGCCATATCCATTAAATCTCCATGCTCAAGAGCTTCAAGCTGCTTTCTCCATACTAGTAGAGGAGAAGGGGAGAATATTAAAAAAAAAAAATTTTTTTTGAGCAAGCCCATGTTGAGTAGTGATATTATTAACCATCCCTCCTCATCTTCTGAGCCATTTACTTGTGGAGAAAATGGAATCAACAGTAAGAGAAAAAGAAGGCCTGCAGGAACTCCAGGTAGGTACCTAGCTGCAATTCTCTTGATGGATAGATTTCGTATAATTGTGCCAGTATCTAACTAAAAATTTCATGATCTTCATGATGTTCTCATGCAATAATAATTAGATCCAGATGCAGAAGTGGTATCCCTTTCACCCAAAACCCTGCTGGAATCGGATCGATACGTGTGTGAGATCTGCAATCAAGGATTTCAGAGGGACCAAAACCTGCAGATGCACAGGAGGAGGCATAAAGTTCCATGGAAGCTTCTGAAAAGGGAAACACCAGTGGTGAGAAAGCGCGTTTTTGTGTGCCCGGAGCCCAGCTGCCTTCACCATGATCCTTGTCACGCTTTAGGCGATCTTGTGGGGATAAAGAAACATTTTAGAAGGAAACACAGCAATCAGAAACAGTGGGTGTGTGAGAAATGTTCCAAAGGATATGCTGTTCAATCTGACTATAAAGCCCATCTCAAAACCTGCGGTACCAGAGGCCATTCTTGCGACTGTGGCCGGGTTTTCTCGAGGTTCAATTGAATTCTTTTGTTCTGTTCATTTTTTTTTTTTTAAATCTTTACCTTATCCACTCATCTTCATTCTTGCCATTGGGTGGGATGTTTTCGTTCTCTTGCTGGTCCTTTGCCACCCCAGATTCAGTCCCAGAATTTTCTCGAGATTGATCAAATCTTGAAATCAAAATTATGCATTTCTATGCTTGGTAGATTTCCAAATTCCACCAATCATTTTCTTTTTTCTAAATTTGTGGCTTTTTCTCTCCACCAGAATGTATCTTCCAGTGAAATTTGTCCTCATCAATATTTTTTTGCCTTTCCTAGTTATCATTGATCTTGGCTGCTATGGTTTCTAAGCTGGAAGGCAATGGTTAAACACAAGAAGGAGATCGAAAAGCTATAAAGATGAATAATTTGGATTTTGACCGATGGCGGCCGAATAATTTATTTTAGTGCAACAGTTTTAACCGACAGTTAACGAAGTTTTCAAAGATCAGGTCGTGATAGGTCATTGATTTATACTAGTTTAATTAATTTAAGGTTGATCCCATTAGTTTCTAAATCCAAAAAGGAATTATTTATTGCATGTAAGTGATTCCTTAACCTTCTTTATTATCATACACTTTTTAAAATGGTCTAAATTGACTTCATCTAAGATATTGCTTTATTAAATAAAAGATGTGATTAAAGATGTCAAAGTTCTGCATATTCCAAGTTTGTTCTCTTCATTAAAAATGTTCATTCCCCTAGCTATTAAGTCATTTTGTGCTTGTTTGCATTCCTACTTCTTAATTACTACATAATTTCCTTTTCAGCTTTTTCCTAGTGCCTATCTTCATGGATAAAAACGCACAGATAATTAAATCATTTCATTTGAAAATGTCCTTTGCTCTACTTTTCCACTACACCTAGAATCATTACACTTGTTTGTAGCAAATCTTCTAATTCAAAAATAATTTTCAATAGTTGTTTATATACATATATATATATATATATATATATATATATAATGGTCCTCATTTCTTCTAGGGTGGAGAGCTTCATTGAGCATCAAGATGCTTGTAACTTGGGTAGAATCCGATCCGAATCTCATTCTTTACAGCCTGCAGCAACAGCTTGTCTTTCTCGAACAGCTTCAAGCCCAAGTCCCTCAAGTGATACAAATGTTAGTGCTTCACCATGGCCTGTTTTAATGGCAAA